GTAAGAAATATTTAATTTTTCTTAAGTAAAAATATTACATATTGATAATTTCACCATCCTATAAATATGTTAACCTAAAAAAATTATCTTTTTTAAAAAGATGGTTGTACTTTTGAATAAAAAAGTTGATTGATCTTCTAATATGCAACTTATTTTCATTTTTGTTTTTAATCTTTCCTATCCTTAACTTTGTCTTTATCTTTACTAGAGTACTACAAACACCACTTTCTATTTTCTCTTTCTTTTACTCAATAATAAGCTACATTTCCTTAAATTTGCCATTCTGAGCATATTCTTCAAACTTAAGAATAATTTCACTTTTAGTAGCTTTGTAAAATTACTTATTATTTTATTTTTTAAAGTATAATATTTCATCATAATTTCTTTGTCTCTTATCAAGTCACAAATATAGTAATGCTTGATATCAATATGTTTGTTGTATCTATAAAAAATTAGATTATTTCTCAAAATAATTATCAATTTGTTATCATAAAATATTTTTGATGAAATATTTTGTTGTTGTTGCAACTCACTCAATATTCTTCATAATCCAACTATTAAAGCAGCACAATTTGTCATTATAATTTATTTTGCTTCCATTATTGAAAGAACAACTACTTATTTTTTGGAGGATCAAAAAAATACATCTAAGCCAAGATAAAAAACATAACCCAAAGTGCTTTTTCAAATTTCAATTTCAAAAGCTCAATCACTATCTTTGTATCCAATCAACTCTAGCTTACTAGAACTTGAATTATCTTTATCAATTATACCTTTAACATACTTTAAGATTTTACTTGCAGCTTGCTAATGGAATTGTTTGGTGATTTCGTAAATCTGCTTATGATCCTTACTTTATAAACTATGTAAGATCTTATTACTATTAAGTACATGAAACTTTTCACTAACATTCTAAATTTTGATAACAATTCAAAACTTGAAGTCTTAGTTAAAAGAAAGATTGCTATCATATTGAAAGATAGATATTTAAATTACATTTTTTTATGTATTTTATGCACCTAGTATTTATTAAATCTCTTAAGTGTTGGCCAACTTGTTAAAAAATGATATGATTTAAAATTCAATAAAAAATGTTATACCATAAATAATGCTAAGATGAGTATGATAGCAAAGACAAACATATTAAAGAATCATCTATTTTCAATGAACATCAAGTATAACACTGAATTAAGTTGCAAAGTTGCAATCATTGTTAATAATTGACTTTGAAACATGCAGCTTAGACATTTTAACTTTAAAAGCATCAATATTTTTATAATGCCTATTATTCAAGTTCCTAATCATTTGTATGAACTGTGTTTACATCAAGATTCTTTTTTTTAATCTTAAAGAATTGTAAAGCTATAAAACTACTTAAATTTTTGTATTATGATTTATGTTATATAGAAGTTTTATATATTAAATAGAGATAGAATAAATATTTTATTATTTTTATTAATGATTTCAATAAGAAAACGCAAGATTATTTTCTAAAAAATAAACCTAATACTTGTAATAAGTTTAAAAGTTTAATAAGGTGGAGTAATTACGTTCTAAAAATCTTAAAAATTGATAGAGGATCACAGTATTCTATTCATGATGATTCCTTAAAGAAATATGGTATTACTCCTCCATAAAATAATGTCACCTATCATTGTTGGGAAAAATTTGGCCAGGGTGACTACTTTGGCATTGGGTGCTAACTATATGCATCAACTACTAGTACTATTTATATACACCCTGTGCATTATTAGCTAATGCAATGGAACACGAAAGCATTGTTGGGTGTTGGCTTGATATTGAAGTACAAATTTTCATCTTTTGAAGAATCCACCAAAAATAAAGAACAAGTACCCGTGACTGATTGATTTAACTTGTGTACATTCATTACTTTTTTGGGTCAATTAACTTGATATGGGCATTTAGCTTAGAAACAATTCAAATATACTAGATACCAGAAAAGTTCAACTATTATGTACCACAGAAGCAGAGAGGGAAAGCGAAGAATGCTGAAGAATGACCTTGATATATGAGACTGAGGCCTAAAGGAATCCTATGGAGCCAAATGAAGGCAATGAGCATACATGGGAGGCCAAGTGGGTGTGAGCTAAATTAGACTTTTTTATTTAAATAATATATTTTTTATTATGATATGATTTAATATTGCTCATAATAAGTGGCTATAATTTGCAATTAGAAAAATAAAAAAGCATCCAGATATAAAGATTTTGGATGTTAGCATAGAGCACTTTTAATTAGGGAAGAATAACCTGGATAGGTTCCTTGTTTCTGGATTGACATATCTGTCTACTAAGATGAATTTGGTCCCTTTAAAAGAGGATGAACATATGAGATAAAATATTATATTATTATTGTCCCACCTCATCTAATACATGTAATATCACTTCATTTCTTCCTATACATATCTAGTTATAATATGTATCAATTTTTTACTAGTATCACCAATCCTCAGACATAGTTTATTAAAAATTTATATTATCTATGCATAAGCAATATTATTGTTGACATGGCAAAAAAATGTATAAAATAAAAAATTTATTTTAAAAATATATCATTTAAATAAAAAGACTGCCAAATTAATGTAATCAACAACCAAATTTTATAATAATATTTTTTTATTATATTATTCTTCTAACTTCTTTTTTTTATCTCTCTAAATTATATAAAAAATTATTATACAAATATCGTTTTTCTTTCTAAAATTACTTGTTATGTATATGTAACTTGTAATTTTTTGGCATTTTAACTCATATTTAATAGTGAAAAATATTTTAAAAACATTTAAACGCGATGCTTTTATATATATATATATATATATATATATATATATATTATTTTAAAGATATATTTTTGAGATATATGTATAAAAAACAAGAAGTAAATAAAAGATAAAATAATTCATTATAATTGCATTTAATATTATCTCTTGTTATTAATTTGACGAGGTTTGACTTGACCTTTTTGTCATTACTTTTGGTAGGTATTTTGTAATGTAGCTTAAGGGTACAAAATAATAAATTATAATTTTTTATTAAAAATTATAGTATTTAATTTATCTTTATATATAATTTGTAAGTGTAAATGTTTAAAGGATTTTTTTTTGAAACTTTCTTAAACAAGAGTATTTTTTATAGTTTGTTTTCTATCTCATCATGCCGAAGGTTTTTTTTTTTTTTTCCATATATTAACATATTTTATTTTTTAATTAAAAATTTCCTTTTTATTTAAATTTATTTAATATAATTAAATATTTACTATTAATACTTCAAATATTTAATCTTGTATAATTTATTAAAATGTTATCTATGCATTGGATCACGTAATATTTTAAAATTTTTAATAAAAATGAAGAACCACATTAAATAAGTTAATTCTTAATTTTATTTTTTAACTATTTTAATTTTAAAAAATTAAATATATTTTATTAATTAAATATTTTTAGTTTCATAAAAATAGAAATGAATTGATTTTGGAATTTTCTGCATAAAAGTATGTTTTAATTAAAAAATATATATTTTTTAATCAATATCTTTAGACCTCAAATTTTTACTATATTTCATACATAATAATTTATTTGTTAATATTAATATTTTTTCCTTACAGACATATGTATTTTAATTGCTATCATTTACTTTAGTATATATTTTAATAAATGAATTATTATAATTTAGTAAAAATATATTGAACTATTTATTTTGCATCCTAAAATTTTACTTATATTAATTTATTTATTAAAAAAATTGTGATGTCAATTAAATTTCTTATATAACATTAAAATAAATTGTATTATAAAAATGATTTTAAAATGGTTACTTTAAAAAGTTATTTTAGATTAAGATATGGATACTTTATGCTTTTTATGCTGAAAGGATTTGATTCATATCATAAATATTTAAGGTGCATAATTATAGTTAAGCGAACTAAAAAAAAAATCAAAATTATTAGTTTTTTAAAAGTGTTAAAGTTGTAAAATTTATTTATACATATTATGAAAACAATATTAACTTAATTTATACAAAAATTTACACCGTCAATATCTTTATGGAGGTAATTATTGAATTATAACTATATATTACTTTAATCAATAAAATATATCTTTAGGTTTAAAGGACTTTGTTTTTCTACAATTTCAGCGACGATTGAGAATTCAAATGATAAGTCATTGGATAATAATAGTGATAGTGATCAAAGTGATAGTTATAGTTACTCTTATGATTTAGAAGAAAGAAAATATAAAAAATATAATTATTCAAAATTGATAAGATTCGATTTTTGAAGAACCTTGGCAAGATGCCTTAGTAATTACGTTACTAAGAAAAAATGTTAATTTTAACACAATGAAAAACTATTTAAATAGGCTTTGAATGTTTAAGGTTTTGAATTAATAGACATTGGCCATGGGTTCTTTATAGTCAAATCTGAAAGGTTTGTGACTTGCCTTTTTTATTATTATCATATCGTGAGACCTTGATATAAGGATTTTTATTTTATTTTAGATTTAATAGAATATCAAGGAATAAGAAGTCTTACTTATAAATCTGATTCACTAATCTTTTAATTTTTAATTTTTATCAGTTATCTAATCACATTCCTGCTCTTCTAACTCCGATTATAATCATACATGATCATGACTACCGGTTAGAATACTGGTAACGACGTTGTATGATTTTCTATTTTAAATTAAAAACAGTTTATTAATCTCAGTCTTAAGGTTGAAGATAAGCAATTAATGATAATAAAGTTTTATTAAAAAATATTTATTATATTTTGACAATTTTAACATAATAAATATATATTTTTTCATAATTTTTTTATTTAAATCTTAAAGAAATTACACACATTTTTCCAAGGAAATTAATAAGGATTTGATTTTGTTGGTGTAGGGCGTGTAATGTGGACAAGTGGACGGTGGGCTTGCATTGATGAGGTGGAGAATGGCGTTGGGCCCAATAAAGACGGGCCGTTGAATCGAAGTACGTGGGTTTGGAAAACCAAAACCGCCTTTCCAACGGCAGTCCACAGAGACAAATAACCGAGGTCGATGCTTCGCGAGTTTGTTTCCTATGACTCTTAGTACTACTCATTTCCACTGTCTTCTTTTTTCATCATTTTCGCTATAAAACCCAAAACCCCACTATTTTCTCCCTCGTTCTTTCTCACTCCTCAACCTAACCTTATTCGGCACCCCTCTCTCTCCATTTCAAACCCACTTCTTTCTTCCTATCCGATCATGTCTCACTTCAAGAGCAAGTACCATGGTACCCTTTTTACCCGATTCAATTTCTCTATTCTCTCTTGCTTGCTTCGATCTATCGTTTTAACCGTCGCATCTTTCTAGATCTCACTGTTTTTTTTTTTTTTCATTTTTATTTGATGATTTAGCTTTTTGTTGTGTTATTTTGTATCAATCGTTTCTTATTATTGGTCCTAGTTTAGGGTTTTGATCTAAGAAACTCAGATCTGGCTTTCTGATGAAATTTTCATGAAAAACAATTACTTGATTATTTATCTCTGTGCTGTGCTTTTACATCAGTTGCTTTTCTATTGGGTTTTGTTAAAATTATAGAATTTTGCATCAGAACCGATGTTTCTTTGTGTTCAACCGATGAAGCTCCCAGTCATATATGGAAACTGTTTTTCTTTTTTTCACTTTTTTAATTTGATATCTCTGTTATCCGTTTATTTTGTTGATGATTTGGGTTTGTTTATAATAATGTTTTTTATTTTTTGGGCATTTTTGTGATTGTATTATGGTGATTGATGGCTTTGTAGATGAGCTCATTGCCAATGCTGCATACATTGGCACCCCTGGAAAGGGTATTCTTGCTGCTGATGAGTCAACGGGAACAATTGGCAAGCGTTTGGCCAGCATCAACGTAGAGAATGTTGAATCCAATAGGCGTGCTCTTAGGGAACTCCTTTTCACTACCCCTGGTGCTCTTAAATATCTCAGTGGTGTCATCCTCTTTGAGGAAACCCTCTACCAGAGCACAGCTGCAGGTACTCCTTTCATCTTAAAATTTTGATTCAGAAATCATGAATTGATGATCATTGCTTCATTGGCTTTAACATGCATTGTTATTGAGCATAATTGTATACCATCTTTATGTGTTGCATCTTAAAGGTTTAATTCATGAATTGATGAGCATTGCATCGATTGGCTTTTAACATGCATTTTTAGTATGCATAATAGGATGTAATTTTTCTGTACTGCATCTAGCTTTCCTTTCCTTTGTATGGATGAAGATTGATGGTAGTTTGTGGTATGCATTGTTGTTACACTAACATTGTTGTGAATGGATTTTACATAGGCAAGCCCTTTGTGGAGTTGTTGAAGGAAGGTGGTGTGCTTCCTGGTATCAAGGTTGACAAGGGTACAGTTGAACTTGCTGGAACTAATGGAGAAACCACCACTCAAGGTCTAGATGGTCTTGGTCAGCGTTGCAAGAAGTACTATGAAGCCGGTGCCCGCTTTGCAAAATGGCGCGCTGTGCTTAAAATCGGCCCAAATGAACCATCTCAGCTAGCTATCAACGAGAATGCATATGGCTTGGCAAGATATGCTGCCATATGCCAGGAGAATGGGCTGGTTCCTATTGTTGAGCCTGAAATCCTTGTTGATGGACCTCATGACATTCTCAAGTGTGCCGAGGTGACAGAACGTGTCCTTGCAGCATGCTACAAGGCTTTGAATGATCACCATGTCTTGCTTGAGGGTACTCTATTGAAGCCAAACATGGTGACCCCTGGATCTGATGGTCCAAAGGTGGCACCTGAGGTTGTTGGTGAGCACACTGTTAGAGCACTGCAGAGAACAGTGCCTGCTGCAGTTCCCGCCGTGGTTTTCTTGTCTGGGGGGCAGAGTGAGCTAGAGGCATCAGTCAACCTCAATGCCATAAACCAGGTCAAGGGGAAGAAGCCATGGTCTCTTTCTTTCTCTTTTGGAAGGGCACTGCAACAAAGCACTCTTAAGGCTTGGGCTGGAAAGGAGGAAAATGTGAAGGCAGCTCAAGATGCCTTCTTGACAAGAGCCAAGGCTAATTCAGAGGCCACTTTGGGAACTTATAAGGGTGGCGATGGTTCCTCCGAGAGCAACTATGTTAAAGACTACAAGTACTGATCAAAGTTACTAGTGGATAGTCATTGGTATTAAAAACTATCAAGGGTACAACTGAATAAGTCTATTGTGTTTTAGAGGGTTAAGTCGGCTGAATTTCTTGTTAATGAGATTGGGGTTTGACTCGACACACAATAATCGCTTGAATTTTGTTTTGTTTTTTTGTTTTCCTAGTGTTAGGTTCAAGTGTATTGGTCAAACCCGTGAAAAAGTGTGGGATGTAGCTTTGTTTTCTTAAAAGACACTGCTGAGTGAGGCTTTGTGTTTATTTCGCAATTATCTTCCTTCGTTTTCATATTTTTATATCTGCTATGGATGATTTCTCTTAGTTACTTATTATAATGTGTGATAAATCAATGGCGTTCAAAATATCTGTTTAAGTCATTAAATTTTGGATTCTTACTTGCAATGTAAAGATTTTGATGGCAATGCTGCAGATGTTCCCTCGAATAAAGTAATGGTTTATGCAATCGTTTTTAATCTTGCATTATCTTCAAATTGATAATATTTTATTATATTGTTCATCTTATAGGTTCAATAAAAGTATTTAACATAATTTAAATGATGTTAATGATTTTATGTAATCTGAACTAATGTCTTAACTTTCGTTATGTATTTTGGTTAATGTTTGTACCCAGTAATTCCATCGCTACCCGTTTTAAAATTCCTTTCGGGACAATCTTTAATCACATCCAATATCCTCTCTTCTATCCCAATCTCCATGAAGAAGCCACGCTTAAATTCAATAGATCCTAAAGTGCATTACTTGAGTTACTTTCGTCAAATTTTCGATCATGCAAATAAATTAAAAATACTTATTTGAAAGTTATTAATTTTGTGAGTCAATCTTAAGAAAAATTTAACAATCAAAACAATATAAAAAATACTTTTAAAGGATTAAGTTATATATTTTTTGTTCTATTATTTTCTAGATGACAGCTGGCAAGTTCATTATATTTGACCTTGAAAAGCTATATCATGAGTCAGCCGCAAAATTTTTCTCGTGGAAAATAGAAAAGAAAAGTTTATATAAAATGGAAAAGTATTTATGAGATTCAACTTGGAAACATCCTAGCAGCTAGCTCCATTGTTCACTCCTCCATGGGCTTAAGTGTTGAAGAAATTTGAGCAATATAAATGTAATATGTTTCATTTATATTTGACATGTTTTAAAATTAAAATAAGATAAAATATACAATTAAATAATATATTTTATTTTGTATGTATAAAAATGCATATACTTGGTTAGAATACCTTCCAAATTGCCCTGTTTGGCTTATAAGAAGAGTTGTTAAAGTGAGTGAACATGGTTCACTAGAGTTGGTCCATGGTAGGTGCATATTTAATGGTGAATAAGAAAAATGTTGAAATCAATCCTTTTTTTTTTTAACTTCGAAATTAGAATTCGACCCACTCAAAATAGTAGGCCTTTTACCAATTAAGAATATTTTTTAAATTTATCATCACAAAAATGTAATCCATATTTTTGTTACGTGAAATTGGTTTTTTTTTTTGTCACATATGCTGTGTAAAATTTTATTTATAAAATTCACTTAGCTTTTATGTGATAGCATCTAATGAGTTTGCGTGACCATATTAAATATTATTTTACTGAGTAACACACGTGTGTTATATTTATATACGCACGTTTATTTGAATGTGGAAGGAGCAATGCAATTCAGGAATGTGAAGTATCAACTTTTCATTAATACAAAGTATGTATATTTTTAGAAGTTTCCAAATTCTTTCAATCTCGAGAAAAATACTCCCTCTACTTTTTAATATTTCTTAATATGTGACATTTATGGTTAATATATAGAAATTAAGAAAAGCAGTACTCTTTATGATTTATAATAAATTTAAATATAAAAAATAATAATAAACACTTTGAGTTTTTCTTGCTGAATTATAATATTTTAAATATTATTTTCATGTTTTCCTTAACATTTTTGCTAGGATAGTTTGATCTGTTGTTTGTATTTCACATTAGAATGATTTGAAACAGCATGTTCCATAACCAAAATAAATGTATTTTGTTTTAGAACCCAAAACCCAAAATTTTTATCTACACAACATAACCAAGTAAGCTTACTAAATTAAATACATGTGTATATACTAAAATGAAATAAAATTTTAATATGGTATCGTGGATCCTAGCTTGCATGTGACATTTGATGTGTTATTTATCAATTTGGCTCCATAATGTTATATTACATTGAGAAATTCAACTTATTAGATAATATCACGTGAAAATTATTCAAAATTAACAATTTCTTTTTAAAGTTTTGTGCTTATTTATGTGGCTCGACGTGGACAAGCATAACACACCTTACCGGTTTCTTTTCTTAAAAATAAAAAATAAAAAATCGTTGACAACGTTATGTGATAAAAACTCTCTTAAACTGATAAATTGTATTTTTTACATTTTTTAGTTTTTTTTGCCTCCAAAATTTTCAATTTTGTTTTTTTTTAAAAAGCCCATATTAGAATCGCATAGCAATACAAATTATATCGTAATGCATTATCATTCATCAAGTAATCATCAATGACCATATTAGTATCCTTTTGTTGAGATTTATTGCGGTATTTAATTGAAAGGCTCAATTCATTGTAACTTTGAGTTAAGTGGGTCAAATGAATGTAGCTTCAAATCTTAATAAATCTATTTTTTTTAATAATCCAATATACTTGTGAAAAAGTTGACTTTTGGATTATAACTTATTTTATACCTTTACCCTAGGTGTGTTTATCGTCACTTTAAGATATTTATTTTTGTTTAAGTATATTTCATCTAAAATATTTTTTAAAATCAAATTAATAATAAAGATATTTAAATAAAAATGTCTTAAAAGTGTTAATAGATACAAGAGAGTGACAATAAATACTCTCTTCACTTGTTAAGCATCTGAAAGTTGCTCTTTCAACAAAAATTGTAATTGTGTCTAGTGAAAATAAAATATTCAACTCTTTTCACAATTTCAACTCATGTTGCCACATAGGTTCTTATACATGAGTTTTGGAATATTTTGTCTGTAGTTTTATACTCTTTTACATTAGTTTCAATTACAAGGTATTTGATCCTATGCGGAAACTTTAAATTTAAGACTTTGGTTATTTAATTTTCTAATTTTTTTTTTGCAAATTGCTTTTATCCTTTTTTGGTTAATAATATGTTAATGGATGGTTTAAACTTTAAAAGGTACTTTGTTATCATAAACAATTAAAATATTATTAGTAGTAGATTTAAATATATTTTTAGTCTCTATATATTCACAAATTTTGAGTTTAATCCCTTTCTTTTTTCTTTACAATTTTGGCCCCTTTATTCGTGTAATTTAGTTATTTTGATCTCTTTCACTAATATGACCACACAAACAATCTATACATTACAGCCGATTAATTAGTTATGCTATCATTTAGTGATCATTGAGGATAAAACGATATATTTTAGCCTAATTAATACTGCTACACACTGAATATTGAGAAATAATACCAAACTTGTTTATGATTGATGTGGACATCTGAATTGTTTAATTTGTTTCTAGTCTTTGCTCAGGATTTTGTTGTGACTTCTCTTCTGTCCAATTTAATAAGTTTGTTCATTTGTGAAGATTTTCAGATTTGATGGGTGAAGTTGACAAGTACTTTAAATTTTTGTTGAAGAAACCAGGGAGATGATCCCTGAAATAATACCAAACTTTCAATGATAAGTTTCTCCCTTAAGTTATGAAATTAAATGAAACAAAAATGCTGCTACAGTTTATTTTTACAATTTTGTTCAATCTTAGATAGAAAAAAAGGGCAAATTTATTAAAATATTATAAATTCAAAAACAATTTGTTATTTTATAGAAAATCTGAAACAATTTCTCAATCTGGGGTAATTTTGTCACGTGGAACAGAATTTCGCCAAATGGGTGGCGAAAGTATTAACTGTTTCGCCAAAAAAAGAACGAAATACGACTTCTTAGAACGGTTAAAATGGAACCGCTCTCATAGGTCTATTTAAGAGAGCGGTTCAAATGGAACTGCTCTCATAACCCATTTTAGAGAGCGGTTCAAAAGGAACTGCTCTCATAACTCCTTTTAGAGAGCGATTCCATTTGAACCGCTCTCCTAACCCATTTTAAAAGAGCGGTTCAATACCGCTCTTTTAGGTATATACAGCATCTCGTGTCAGGAGTTTCGCCAACCGAAATGAGAAATGTGATGCAGTTTCGCATATTTGATGGCGAAAATTTTCTTTTAATATATTTTTAAAATAATTTCGTTACCGGACTGGCGAAACAAATATCACTTTCTTCATTTTCCTGGCGAAATAGAATGCTATATATATCTCCCACCAATCTCTCATTTTCATCGAAAGGACAGAAGAAAATCTCAGGTATGTGTTATTTAATAATTTTATTATTTAATTTTGAATGTATAATTTTAGTTATATTTAATTAATGAGTATTGTTTATTTTATTTATGTTAATTATTGTAAAGTTTAAATATTAAATAAAGTTTATTTGAATAAAATGCAGGATGAGTGAGATTGTTATTATTATATATTGGAATGGTAGAATCTATGAAGGAAATGAAGGAGTAAGTTTTGAAGGAAGTAAAAAAGTAATTCAAATAAAACGAGGAATAAGTTATGAAACATTGAAAAGAAAAATTCATGTGAAACTCAATCTTAATCATAATCAAGTGATTTCTAGATTAATTTCTCGTTTTTTGATTGATGAAAATATTAGACAGTATACAGCTTTGGATATATGTGATGATGAAGATATTGATTGTATGATAAGTGCATTTCAACAACAATCTAGTAGAAATATTATTGAGTTATATGTAGATATTGTTGTTGGTGGAAGTTCATCAATGTCCTTACAGACGATGAATTTAAATTTATCACTTTCACAACAAAATGATAGGACCCTTGTGAGTCGTGATTATAATGAAGGTAAAATTATTTTTGTTCTAATGTCTTTTATTTAATATATGTAATTAATTGAATTAAAACTGATAAATTTGTTGCAATAAAAGAGTTAGGAATGATGCTGATGAAGATAATGAACACTCAGATTATGAGAGTTACACTGATGGAGATGATGAAGCAGAAATTTCATTAGGCAGTTCTTCTTCTACTGATGTTGAAGGCGAGTTTAATTCCAACTTACATATACAAGTAACCGAAAATGTAGGAGGTAATGTGAAATAATTATAAAGAATTTGTTTTTTGTGAAATAATAATAATGCAGAAGATACTGTAATTCCTTTTTGGAATGTTACTCCAAAGTATAAGTATATTAATTGGGAATATCCTGATCAAGAAATGGATGAAGAACATCTTCAAGAAGTCAATTCATGGGTTGAAGGAG